CGGCGGAGTGGCTTACCAATTTTTTGTAGTGCTGGGGGTCCCGGGTTCAAATCCTACCAGCCAGTAACAAATAATTGTTCTGGATCTGGATGTTTGTCCTTGTGAAATTTATGTATATAAACTGCCCCTACGATACCGGGGAAAATTCTAATGTAGATGTAATGTGAGGAAAAAATATCAGTCCGTCATACAGTAAGCGAAAAACATGACTTATTTCCATAGGTCAGCAATAATAATAATTATATTTGTTTTACTCGTGAGTATAAGTAAACTAAAAGATATATTCATTATAAAACGTCAGTTCAGAAACAGATTGCACGCACCTGATTTAAATTTCATATTCACGCTTTTTAGGGCGGATGCCTCTATTACCAGCCTTTTAGTGCCAATTTTAACTTTAAACATTCCTACTACTTAAATTAGCGCGATTAAATTATTTTTAAATATTTGTTTCAATGGATAAGCTATATTAAAAGTATAGTTGTAGCACGAATGGGTCGGCTCGACCAGGGAAGGACCACGCTCTCATAGAATACCAGCGTAAAATTGTAGCTTACTGCTATTGTGTTTCGTATGGCGAGTGTAGAGAACCGGAGACCCTTTTTACTGTAAACGAGGCGTTCCATCGTAATCCTTACGGGTGACAACGCATCTGCATTTTGATTCGTAATCGAGAATAGATGTAAATGTGGATGGTGTGCTCGTTTGTCACTCTATCCTATATAAAAAACTAGGATTTAAGCAAACATCCTCACCTGAAATTTATTTATAAGCTATAAAAACACTTGTTCCGTGCAGGATTCGAACCTGTGATCCACAGCGCTGCAATTGAATCCTTAGTCACTACACTATCGAGCACTCAATATACATATTACATAAAGCTAACTTGTTATAATCAAAATCCTATTATGATTTTTAAAAACGTCGTTAATATCAGTTTATTAAACCAATTCTTAACTTGCCATTTAGTTGTATTAAAATAAACTAGCAGTACCCTTGTGTAAGACGTATACTGTTACACCTTACTTTTATAATTTATTTCAGTTTGTCATGGTGGCTTTTCAGGCGTAACGAGCAATGATATATGACCGCTTTAAAGACTGTCTGGCGGAAGTGAGGAGTATGTTTACGGTTTGAGAACGTACGGCTGATAGTTGTGAAACATGTCAAATCTAATTGGACACGTTGTGCTTGTTTGCGCTAGTGCAACTCGTTTGAGTATCAAGATCTTGTTTAGATTGAGCTCGCCGCAGGGTGCTAGACGAGCGCACGTTAATGAGAATCTTATTACGTTAAAACAAGATCAGTCGAAATTAATAAACGCACCTACCAGAGTGCAGTCGCTTGGAACTTCGAGTCCCTATTAAGAGTACGTTAGTCTAGCGTTATAATATTTTGAATGTTACTAAATGCTCGCCGTAATTTCACAGTACGAGACATTCGGGTTCGATGTCCGCCGCCAACAATAAATTTGTTTTGTGTTTAATTCCACTTTAATTCCGTTTGCCCAGCTGTGGAGAAAATCCTTGGCGTCCAAGGAAAAATATTCTAAATATGACCTGGCCGATTTCACCAAACTCAGATAAGTTTTATTCCAAAAGTAATGATATAAGTGATTCTAGGATATCATATTTTACATTTCACCAACAATTTAACCCAAGAATAAACAGTTAACCAAGAGATAAGATTTATACTACCGATTCTGCAGGATTACGGAGTTATTCTTCGGTTAAAATGACGGACAGGCTGTCAGCTGTTAATTATTTGACATTTTTAATAGTCTGTCGCGTACGTCCAAGTTTCTTGTTCCTGAATTGCTGTTTGATTAATAAATTTTTAGTTTAATTATTATTGAGAGTATATAGCTATACATAATGCAACGTTTGAGAAGAATGATTAACAACAGTGACAGTGATGATAGTGAAGATGAAACATATTATGTTGTAAAACGTCCAAGGTGGATAAAAGAAAGGAATAATTATTTTTATGACTATGATGACGAAGACTTTAGGATAAGATTTTGGTTATCTAAATCAGCAGCTCATAATCTTTTGATCAAAATTGAAGATCATTTGGAATTTATATCTGAGAGGTGAGTCTTTGTACCTATTTATACTGTTCGTAGGTACATAATACGGCAAAAAGAAATTGCTCTAAAATAAAACTGTTTTGGTTTACAGGAATCAATCAATTTCTCCGATTAATCAGCTTTTGGCAACACTAAGGTTTTATGCTACGAATAATTCACAATTAACGATCGGTGATTTTAGTGGGCTCCGCACACCTACAGCATACAGAATAATACATAGAGTTAGTGCTGCCATAGCGTCATTGAACCACGAGTACATAAAATTTCATCGAATACCACATTCGAATAAGTTTTATGTATAGCAAGATTCCCTATTGTAGGGGCAATGGACTGCACACATGTCAGAATTTCTTCACCCAGCGGGGATCAGGCAGAACTGTTTAGAAATCGAAAAGGCTATTTTTCTTTTAA